CCACGCAAGACCCAACCCAAATTATTTTTTTTTTTACCAGTTTAGCTATGTTAAACACAGGCTAAAGCTGCATTTTAATAATTTTGGGATATAAATTTGATTAATGTTCAAATAAAAATGTGCTACCTAAAGCCATGTTATGAAAGGCCTTCCTGTATGTATATATATGTATGTATGCATGTATATGTATATGTGTAAAGGAAGAAAGTTGAAAGTGAATATAGATAAGAATAAGAGTAAGGTGATAAGGGTATCAAATGAGTTAGGTAAAGAAAAATTGGATATCACTTTGGAAGGAGGGAGTATGGAAGAAGTGAATGTGTTCAAATGTTTGGTAGTCTTGTCAGTGAATGGGTTTATGAAGGACGATGTTAACCATAGATTTGATGAAGGAAAAAGGGTGAGTGGTTCATTAAGGTATCTCAAAAAAAAAAATTATCCATGGAGGCAAAGAAGGGAATGTACGAGAGTATAATGGTACCAACACTCTTGTATGGGTGTGAAGCATGGGTTGTAAATGCTGCAGCAAGGAGGAGGCTGGAGGCAGTGGAAATGTCATGTCTAAGGGCAGTGTGTTGTGTAAATATTATGCAAAGAATTCGTAGTGTGGAAATTAGGGGAGGTGTGGAGTTACTAACAGTATTATTCAGAGGCTGAAGAGGGGTTGTAGAGATTGTTTTGGTTATTTAGAGAGGATGGAGCAAAATAGATTGACTTGGAGGGTGTATAAATCTGTAGTGGAGGGGAGGAGGGAGTATGGGTTGTCCTAGGAGAGGATGGAGGGAAGGGGGTAAAAGAGATTTTGTGTTCAAGGGGCTTAGACATGCAGCAGGCATGTGTGAGCATGTTAGGAGTGAATAGAGTCGAATGATTTTTGGAACCTGACGAGCTGTTGGAGTGTGAGCAAGGTAATATTTTTGAAGGGATTCAAGGAAACCAGTTAGCCGGACTTCAGTCCTGGAGGTGGGAAGTACAATGCCTACACTTTAAAGGAAGGTTTGGGATATTGGCTGTTTGAAATGATATCTAAACTATCATATTTGAGTGCCTCTGCAAAGACAGTGATTGTGAAAGATGAAGGATGGTGAAAGTGTTTCTTTCTGTCTTGGGTCACCCTGCCTTGGTGGGAGACGGCTGTGTTAAAAAATATATAGAGAAAATATTGTAATTGTACAGACGAAATAGAGATAATTTATCATTCACAATATATGTGTTTTAATGCCCTATATGTACCATTTCGAAGTTGTCATGTCTATATCGACATTTTTTGCATTTTTTTACGAGGCACTAAATAGTTGCAGTGTGGTTCTACAATGACTTTAAAGTCATTGACATTGCCTATTCCAGAAAATTAGCAGGTTTCAGGATTTTAGATGTTGATGCTCTTTTCTCAAGTCTTATAAATTTCAGTCTGTGATAGTGACTAAGGTACGTAGTAGGTTGGCAAAAATTAAGTAAATCATCCAGGGGGGTACTGTAACCTTGTCAGGTGATTGTGAAAAAAAAAGCATGTTAAATATTTTGCACTCTGTTAAGCTTGCAGATCTTTTCTTTCTGCCTCATAAACATGTAAGATGGCATGTAAATCTTACAAACTACCACTTAAATTGAATATACACCACTTTTTCTTCATGTGTGTTTCTTAATACCTGTAGTTTTTATTTCTGTAATATTTTCCCTTACAGTTTGACCCATACGCTGTCACAACCCTGAAATTATATGTCCCATCAGTGTTGCAATTAAAGAAAAATTATCTTTTAAAATGGTAGAATCTTTTTCTAAAGATAATAACACCAAAAATGTTGTGAAGTTGAAGGTCAGTGAGCACTTTATGCCACTGATTGTGCCCACTTTGAGATCTATTTTATCCAGTTCCTTTACTTAAAGCAACCTAATTTCTGGTTATTTTGCTGGTACTGTATGCCTTCCATTCTATCAATTGAGCACAAGAAACCTCGCATTGAACTATCACAACTACCCTATAAAGCACCCAGTAGTCAGTAAAAGAAGCCAAAATAACCAATTTAGGTATTCCAGCCACTAAAACAACCTTTCCTCTGTTCATTAATCATAGCCCAGGCCTCTCCCATTTAATACACGTACTTGCTATCCATTTTGGACTCATCACAAAAAATGTAAGTTTTAACCTTTTTCTTGGCTAATAAAATGTAACTAAGAATGATTGGTCATGGCTTAGGCCATTCAAATAATTGAAGCAAACCCAGTATATACCCATAAAACAAACTATGAAGACCTACACCAACCTTAATCCTTTCAGGGTTTCCGACGTACTAGTACGGCTTACGCACCAGGGTTATTGATGTGCTAGTATGCCTAAATTCTAGCGCCTTCAGATCTAGCGAGAGAAAGCTGGTAGGCCTACATATGAAAGAATGGGTCTATGTGGTCAGTGTGCACAGTATAAAAAAATCCTACAGCACACAGTGCATAATGAGAAAAAAAAAAAAATTTGACCGTGTTTTTGGTTTAAAACAGCGAATTTGCACTGTATTTTCATATGGTATTTATGGTTGTATTCTAGTTTTCCTGGTATCATTTTATAGAATGGAAGACATATTACAGAAATTGAGATGATTTCGATTAGTTTCACAATGAAAAGTACCTTGAAATTGAGCTAGTAGCAGAAATGTTCGATTTTTGCCCAAGTTCAAAAATAAATAAATAAATGCCATGTGTCCAATACACGTCAACTGGTGAGTCTAATATTCTTTCACAAGTGCACTGATATTATTTATACTATTTCTACACTAATGCAGTAGTCTGCATAACAGTAAATCATCTATTTTTACTGAGAATAAAAATTCAAAGTGGAAAGCAAAAGAAATGTAAGAGGAGCCTGGGGATGTGACTAATGAACAGAGGAAATGCTATTTTAGTGCCAGGAATGTTTGTCTTGTTTATTCTGGACCCTATTTAGAAATTGGCATCTTTTGAAATTTGTGTGAAATTGGCAAAATTGCTAATTTCTGACCACATTTTTGGATAATTGAAATCGGTAAATGGGTGGTTTCTTGTACTCATTCGATAGAAAAAATGGAACTCTAGCTAAATAGTTATGATTTTTGTCGACTAGTACACTGGAATTGGCTGAAAATAGGGCTCAAAGTGGGCGAAATCGCCGATGCGTAAACATCATCGAGACTGCTAACTTTGCGAGAGCATAATTCCGTAAGTTTTCCATCAAATTTCATGCTTTTGGTGTCATTATGATCGGGAAAAGATTCTCTATCTTTTCATAAGAAAAAAAATTTTTGTTTTTTTTTCCCGAAAAATTTTCGACCCTGAGAACAAGTGTAGGAGAAGGCCTCTCGACCCTGAAAGGGTTAAGAAAATTGTGAAAAATTAGATAATTCCTGTGCAATCAGTGGTTTGCCAGTGTGGTCATGGCCTGGGTCTTGTCCATGAGGTGACCCAGCAAAAAAGTCTGTTTCAAGCCACTACCTATCTGCAACAGATCATCTCTATTTCAATAGTCTGGCAACTGATATCAAGAAAATGCCAGTAAGACCATGAAACCCACTACAGAATATGCCTCAAAGTTGCTAAAATAGATGACAAGGAGAGGCATTTAGGTTATTAACCCTTTGAGGGTCGACAGGCCCTCTCCGAAACTCGTTCTCAGGGTCGGCCAAATGAAAAGATAGAGAATCTTTTCCCGATCATAAAGACACCAAAAGTTTGAAATTTGATAGAAAACTTACGGAATTATGCTCTCGCAAAGTTAGCGGTCTTGGCGATGTTTATGCATCGTCGATTTTGCCCACTTTGAGCCCCATTTTCGGCCAATTTCACTGTACTAGTCGACAAAAAACATGAATATTTCGCTAGAACCCCATTTTTTCTATCGAATGGGTGCAAGAAACCACCCATTTATGAAATTCAACTATCCAGTACAGTGGTCAGAATTTAGCAATTTTGCCAATTTCACACAAATTTCAAAAGATGCCAATTTCCGAATAGGGTCCAGAATAAACAAGAAAGACATTCCTGGGACTAAAATGACATTTCCTCTAGTCATTAGTCACGTCTCAAGGCCCCTCTTATATTCTTTTGCTTTCCACTTTGAATTTTTATTCTCACAAAAAATATAAGATTTACTGTTATGCAGACTACTGCATTAGTGTAAAAAATGGTATAAATATTATTGGTGCACTTGTGAAAGAATATTAGACTCACCAGTTGACGTGTATTGCACGCTTGGCACGATTTGTTTACTTTTGAAGTTTGGTAAAAATCGAACATTTTTGCTACTTTGAGCTCAATTTCAAGGCACCTTTCATTGTAAAACCAGTCAAAATCATCTCAATTTCTGTAATATGTCTTCCATTCTATAAAATGAGACCAAGAAAACTAGAATACAACAATAAATACCATACGAAAATACACTGCAAAGTCGCTGATTTATTCCAAAAAAATGGTCAAAGTTTTTTTTTTTCTCATTATGCACTGTGTGCTGCAGGATTTTTGTTAGACTGTGCACACTGACCACATAGACCCATTCTTTCATATGAAGGCCTACCAGCTTTCTCCCACTAGATTTGAGGCCGCTACCTTTTATAAACTAACATTGATATAGTGTACTATAGCACAGGATATTAATATAGGAACTAGAGTAAGTTAATGTGGGTTTTATATTGGAGATTTAGCTCTAGTATATAACATAAAGTATGTTGAGTAATGGTTGTAGGCTGACAAAATGGTAATAAAAGGACATTTGTAGCAAAGGCTTTTTTTTTTTCATTTACATGTTTCACCCACTGCATGTGAAATACTTTATAAATGAGAGTTGCTTTGCCGTGAGTGTCTGCTGTGAACATATGACAGTCATTTCTGAACCCAGAGATAATATATTTTGTGTAGTACTGTAGTTTTTTAAATTGTGTACTTTGCAGAAATATTTAAGATTCCTAACTGGAATTAATGACATTGTCATCATTGCTGACTTTTGGTGAATGACAAAAGGCAAACATTCCCTACAGGACAGTGATAAAGCAGGTGTGGGAGCTACTGGATCCAGGTCAAGTCAAACTTCTGCTACCAAGTTGCACCAGTGTCCCTACTGTCCATACGACACTTACAGGAAAGACCACTTAAAGATACACATTCGCACCCATACGGGAGAGAGACCATATGCATGCCATTATTGTCCTTCTCGATTTATTCAAACAAATGCTCTTCGTAAACACCTGCTCACTCACAATAGGGCAAAATTAAAACATCATTGTATGTATTGTACATATTCAACTTCCAAGAAACGTGCTTTAATTCTTCATTTGCACAATCACACTGAAAGCAAGTAATATTCTTGCAAATACTGTACTCTTCAGTTCTTTCACATTAGTACTCTTCAGACTCTCATTCATATCCATACTAAAGACAAACTTTGTTCATTGTATCATCAGATTTTTAAGGATCATAAAACTAGTATCTCATATGTTTAATTAAATAGAGTACATATTAAATTTAATGGCAGTGTAGTAGTGATTATTATTTATTGTATTTTGTAGCCTATAAAATGTTACCCGGTTAGATGTATATCTGGAAAAAGTAAGCATTTCACATTTATTTTTCTCAATATTTATTTTATATCTTTACTGGAGAAAATATTTATTTTACTATTAACAATTAATATATTATTTTAATGTTATAGTAAAAATGGCTTTGAAATATTGTGCAAAGTGGAAAATGACTTCATTTATCCTCATCCTCTTTAATACTTATTTATTCAACAAATTTTGTCAATGCTGTTATGCATAGCACATAGTGTGTCTAGCTAAATACATCATCTGCAGTTATTTGTTTTATAGGATGTATCGTACCAATTTTCTTTTTTGCTTCATTGATTTTCAACTTCAGAACATGGCATATTATAGTCCTCACAAGGAAAAAATGCTAAGTCATTACTAAAGTAAAAAAATAGAATAAGTCTACTGGTAGGTTTGTGATGCATTATAACACGTGTAAAGACTTCACCGTAAAGATTTATACTCATTAACAATTTACGATTGTATTACAGTACAGGTACCTGTAAAAGGCATTATAGTGGTTAGATTTAGGTACCTGTTTGTGTGTTAATATATTGGTGTAGTGACTAGTAACCAAATTAAATAGTAAAATAATATGCAGATGCCAGCTTTAGTACAGGATCATGTATGGGCGACTCCTGACTTGTGCCTCTCTGTTCATTGCATTTATGACCATTTATTTCCTGATAAGATAGCCCTTAAAAATCTAATTTTCACAGGATCAAAACTTCCATTTGTAACATTGTGCTCATGGGCAATAACAGTTCATCGCAACAGCATGGCTAGCAAAGGTTCTCCCAGAACCGACTAGGTCGCTAACGTAGGGGTCGCCTCTACAGGCATTTTTCATGTTATCATTTTCACATTATTTCTATTCATCTTAGGAATCAGAATAAAGGAAATACTTTTGCAAAGAGGAAATGTAACATAATCTGTAATTTTATTTTAATGTTTAATATTTAAAAAGTACATAAAGGCAATTAAGTAAAACTGCCAGAAAACCCAGAGGCCAGCTGGAAATCTTAAGTATGATTTGGCTAACATTATTTCCACAGTAGCCACTGTAATGTTAATCATTAACAAATAATGAGTAAGTGGAAACAAGCTTTTTTTATATAGGATTTAATGTGCTATTGGAGTGTGAGCAAGGTAATGCTTATGAAAGGATTTGGACATGAGTCCTGGTGGTGGGAAACATCTCTGAAGGAAGTGTAGGGATGTAGTAGTTTAGAGGGCTGTTTGAATTGTGATGTTCATATACTTCTATCAAGATGACTGTTGAATGAATGTTGGGGAATTTGTTTCCTGGTCATCTTACCCTGAAGGGAGATGGCCAGTGTTGTTAAAAAAAAATATACTAAAAGTATCATAAGATAGTACAGGTAATAACTGCATATTTTAATGAAAACCCATTTTAATAAGAGAAATAATATTACAAACACACACATTAAGGTCAGTTTGGGTATACACTGTGGTTCAGTTTCTGGGGCATTTTTATGTCCTATAATATACCTGATATTTGCAAATCTATGGAAATTTTTATGTTTAAGTTTTAATCGTAAGTAAGAGCATAAACTGATGCCCCCCCCCCCAGAGCATAAACTGATGCCCCCCCCCCCAGAGCATAAACTGATGCCCCCCCCAGAGCATAAACTGATGCCCCCCCCAGAGCATAAACTGATGCCCCCCCAGAGCATAAAGTGATGCCCCCCCAGAGCATAAACTGATGCCCCCCCCAGAGCAATAAACTGATGCCCCCCCCCCCTTTTTTTTTTTTAGGATAGAAGGTTGTATTATATAACATTAAACTTACGCTTGTGGTGTCTGCTCTAGATTTCCACTCGTGGCACAGACTACCTTGGGTTTCCATTGGTTGTGGTTCAGACTGCCTTAAATTTCCAGTGGTAGTACAGACTACCTTAAATTTCCAGTGGTAGCACAGACTACTTTAAATTTCCAATGGTTGTAGCTCTAATTACCTTAATTATGTAGTGGTTGTATCACAGACTACCTTAGATTTTTAGTGGTTCTAGCACAGACTATAGTACTTTAAATTTCCTATGGGTGTATCACATTTAAGCTTTATCAGTCCATTCCATCCATCTACCACTATTTGAAAAGAAGTACTGTACTTGCTATTGTGTTTTTTCTACATCTCATTATACTAATTTGAAATTGTGTCCCTCCTCCCCTTTGTTCTCCCTGTTGGTAATTCAATAAAAGCTTCCTTAATTGAACTTTCATATCCTTCTACAGTATTTTTAAGAGATTGTCTTCTATCTTTCAAGGGCAGTGGGAAACCTTCAAGTTGTTGGTTTAGCTCTGAATGACCTATGTAAGTTTAGCACTTCATTGTAAATGCTCTGAAGGAGGGATGGGGATGTTGCAATATTGGTATTGAATTAATGATGGTGAATGTATTTTTTTTTTTTTTTTGTCACCTTTGGTGGGAGGTGGGCATTTTGTCTAAAAAAAAAATGGTGTTTTATAAGAGATTCTAGAAATAAACTGAACAACTTTTGACACTGGAACTGAAAAACAGCAAAATCAGTATAATCTGTGCATAAGTTGATAAAATCAAATAAATTTTTGCAAAGGTAGAGGCAGGTTAGCAATCAGTGGAGGGGAAGGGGGGGAAGAATTACTGTCTTTTAGTTGCAGCATATTAACCTTTAAACGGTCCAAACATATATATACGTTCTCTCGCTTAGGGCCCCAAACGTATATATACGTTTCATTTGGCATTCATTCAACATTGGCAAGATAGGCCTGAGTCACCTAGACATGAGAGAATGTGTGTGTGCACTCATTGTGCGCCATATGAAAAAAATTGGAGACGTCTGGGTACCACTTGTTCTTTTTCCCTATAAAAAAAAAAACTTTTTTTTCTCAAAATATTCGGGGCGCTGCACAGGTGAACTTATATATACGTTTGGACCATTTAAGGGTTAATCTCACAACAGTGGGAGCTGGTAAAGGGGTTAGACAATAACTCAGTGGTAGAGTATATTAACCCTTTCAAGTTTCGGCCGTACTAGTAAGGCTTACGCCCCAGGGTTTTTGACATACTAGTACGCCTAAATTCTAGCTCTCTCAAATCTAGTGAGAGAAAGCTGGTAGGCCTACATACGAAAGAATGGGTCTATGTGGTCAGTGTGCGCAGTACAGTGGACCCCCGCATAACGATTACCTCCGAATGCGACCAATTATGTAAGTGTATTTATGTAAGTGCGTTTGTACGTGTATGTTTGGGGGTCTGAAATGGACTAATCTACTTCACAATATTCCTTATGGGAATAAATTCGGTCAGTACTGGCACCTGAACATACTTATGGAGTGAAAAAATATCGTTAACCGGGGGTCCACTGTATAAAAAAAATCCTGCAGCACACAGTGCGTAATGAGAAAAAAAAAACTTTGACCGTGTTTTTGGATTAAAACAGCGACTTTGCACTGTATTTTCGTATGGTATTTATTGTTGTATTCTAGTTTTCCTCGTCTCATTTTATAGAATGGAAGATATATTACAGAAATTGAGATGATTTGGACTGGTTTTACAACGAAAAGTACCTTGAAATTGAGCTCAAAGTAGCAGAAATGTTCGATTTTTACCAAAGTTCAAAAGTAAACAAATCATGCCAAATGTGAGTCTAATATTCTTTCACAAGTGCGCTGATATTATTTATACCATTTTTACACTAATGCAGTAGTCTGCATAACAGTAAATCTTCTATTTTTTGTAAGAATAAAAATTCAAAGTGGAAAGCCAAAGAAATATAAGAGGGGCCTGGGGATGTGACTAACGAACAGAGAACTTGTTATTTTAGTGCCAGGAATGTCTTTCTTGTTTATTCTGGACCCTATTCGGAAATTGGCATCTTTTGAAATTTGTGTGAAATTGGCAAAATTGCTAAATTCTGACCACTTTATTGGATAGTTGAAATCGGTAAATGGGTGGTTTCTTGTACTCATTCGATAGAAAAAATGGAATTCTAGCGAAATAGTTATGATTTTTGTCAACTAGTACACTGGACTTGACTGAAAATAGGGCTCAAAGTGGGCAAAATCGCCAATGCGTGAACATCGTCGAGACCGCTAACTTCGCGAGAGCATAATTCCGTAAGTTTTCTATCAGATTTCATACTTTTGGTGTCATTATGATCGGGAAAAGATTCTCTATCTTTTCACAAGAAAAAGTAATTTTTTTTTTTTTAATTTGGGACCCTGAGAACAAGTCTGGGAGAGGGCCTGGGGACCCTGAAAGGGTTAACATTACATAAATAAGACACCTTATGGGTTATGGCATTTTATTGTGAAGATGTTTCATCCAACAGAGACTTTTATTAATTGATCAAGTCCCTGCTGGACAAAACATCTTCACAATAAAACTCCATAACCTGCATTGTGTGTTTTATTTACATACACAAGGGGTGAGGCTTCCAGTTTTCTTAATATTCTTTTACCTTTGTTCCTAATGTTGTCTAGTAAATCACTGGAGGGTCTGAAGATGTGCACCACCATCAGTACTTAGCATTTTCACACTATCACTGTCTTGCCCGAGGCATGCAGATACAAAAATTCAGATGTCCCTCTAAACAACAAATGTCCCTTTAGAGCACAGGCACTGTACTTCCCACTTCCAGGACTCAAATCTGGCTAACCAGTTTCCCTGAATCCCTTCACAAAATATTACCTTGCTCACACTCCAACAGCTCGTCAGGTTTCAAAAACCATTTGTCTTCACTCCTATCTAACACGCTCACTAATTTATGTTTGTGAGACTCAAGTCTTCAATTCTTGCCCTGCCATATGAATAATAAAGCTTTGTTGTTCAGCATTGTTGATTTCAGGCCACTTTAGCATTATTATACCTGCCATTAAAACTTTACTACCCAAAGATTGAAAGTATTTTCTGACATCCCTGTGACTCATAAACTTCCTCTGAAAGAAGCTCCTTTATATATGTGGTGGGGCATTATAGTTTTTGTTGTTGACTGTGCCGAATTTGCTTCAGCCTCCCTTGGGGTGGCCTTCATATGTAAAGGCTAAACTAAGGACTTTCCATTGCATTTACTATACTGTGGTGTCCTTGGGTGGGTAACACATCTTTGGTGGGGAATAGAGGTCAAACAGGAGGCTACTGAATCAGTTAGTTGGTCTTGCAATGCTTTCCTCTCTCCAGTGGGCAGTTTATTTTTTGGCCAGTACGTAGCAGTTATTGAGGAGGCTTTTTTTTTTCCCTCTCCCTGTGACTGCTATTAGGTGCTTTGTTGATCTCTCACATATTCCTCTTCCTTAGCCCTGAGGTCATTGTTTTAGTAATATGTAAGGCTTCCCTTGCTAGACATGATGGTGGGTGGGAAAGTGGGGAGCTAATGTTTAATTTTTATTGCTTTAGTACCCCTCAAGGGAAATCAGTGAGGGCGCTCTAGATCTATGATACCGGACTTAGCCTCCCTTCCTTGAATTGACCCTGAATGCCTTCCATTTCCCAGGCACTGTATGACCCTATGAGTTTAATGCTTACCTTCTGATTAACCCTTTGACTGTCGCGGCCGTATATATACGTCTTACGAGGTACCGTGTTTGACGTATATATACTCATAAATTCTAGCGGCTTCAAATCAAGCAGGAGAAAGCTGGTAGGCCCACATGTGAGAGAATGGGTCTGTGTGGTCAGTGTGCACCATATAAAAAAAATCCTGGAGCATGCAGTGCATAATGAGGAAAAAAAAAACTCCGATCGTTTTTTTTTTAATTAAAATGCCGACTTTGTGGTCTATTTTCATATAGCATTTATGGTTGTATTCTCGTTTTCTTGGTCTCATTTGATAGAATGGAAAATATATTATAGAAATAGAGGTGATTTTGATTGATTTTACTATAAAAAGAACCTAGAAATGGAGCTCAAAGTAGGGGAAATGTTTGGCAAAAATCAATGTTCAAAAGTAAACAGATGATGCCATTGTCCAATAAATGTCCAACTAGCCATTCTAATATGCGGTCATGAATGGGTTGATGTTATTTATACAATTATTACAGTATTGCAGTAGTCTGCATAATAGTAGGTCTTCTATTTTTTGTTTGAATAAAAATTCAATATAGAAAGCAAGAGTAATATCAGAGGAGCCTGGAAGACATAACTGATGAACAAAGAAAATGTTATTTTAGAGCCAGGAATGTCTGCATTGTTCATTCTGGACCATATTTTGAAATTGTCATATTTTTTAGTTTTCGTGAAATTGGCCAAATTGCAAATTTCTGACCACATTATTAGGTAGTTGAAATCGGTAAATGGGCAGTTTCTTGTACTCAATCGATAGAAAAAATGGAGTTCTAAAGAAATAGCTATGAGGTTGGGCGACTGGAACAATGAAATTAGCCGAAAATAGGGCTCAAAGTGGGCGAAATCGCCGATTTGTAAACAGTGCCGAGGTCGCTAACTTCGCGAGAGCATAATTCCATCAGTTTTCCGTCAAATTTCGTTTTTTTGGTGTCATTACAATCGGGAAAAGATTCTCTATCATTTCATAAGAAAAAATAATTTTTTTTTTTAATTTTGCGACACCAGGAGACACCTCAGGATTGGGGGTTGCGACAGTCAAAGGGTTAAAATAAAAAACTTTTAGGAGTATATATTGTTATTGATTCTTCTACATTGTCTCTGACTATGGTTTTGGCACTCTTGACTCTCAACAGCAATTTGCAAGTTTTCAGTGTGATACCTAGCCACATTCCTTTCACTCTGCAGTCAAGACAACTGTTGTTTCAGATCTCATTCCTCATATTTTAGACCTCTTCCATTTCCTCTACATGAGGTGAATGGCTCACAACCGGATTACATACTTCACTACAGCCCAGTGAGCTTCATGTGTGCTGTGCAGTTATAAAATCAGCTAGGCAGTCTTGGCAGCAGCTGACCTGAGAGTTACCATCCCTAGCATGCCCTCACTTTGCCTTTCCTTTGGAAAGCCCTGTCTTCAACTTATACACTTTTTTTTACTGAAACTGCTTAACTTGGCTGGCTGCAAGTGCATCATCTCTCTCTCACTAGTAGTGCTTCAAGGATCAAGCCTCCACCACTCCTCATTCTGAGTGATCCACACGAGTTTAGCACTTTAAATAAATACGTATAATAATAATTATACCATGAAGCTAGGCGTATTAATTTTTTTCTAAAAATATATTATTCCTCTATTTTTATTATTTGACTGAGACTGACTTGTTATACCAACTCTGACTTTCCTTATTAGCTTATAATCGTGCCATTCATACATATCCTTTTGCCGATATCCTCCCTCAGCCTTGTAGTGCAATAGCTACCCACCTTCGCACCCGTTGGCAACAGCGTTGGTCAACTCTGCTCGGTAACAAACTTCATTCTATTAAACCGAGCATAGGTTACTGGCCGTCTTCTTGTCATCAGTGCCGAGGTTGGGAGACCACTCTCTCCCGCCTTCGCATTGGCCACACTTGTCTTACTCATGGGTATCTCATGGAGAGGCACCCTATTCCTCTCTGTGAGCAGTGTCAAGTTCCAGTATCGATTAGCCACATTCTGTTAGACTGCCCTCTCTATCAACGAGCACGCAGAATTTACCTCCAACGTTGTCTTCGTTCTACTACTTTCTCTTTACCTTCCCTTCTTGCTGATGGACCCTCCTTTAATCCTGACTCTCTCACTGACTTCTTGACAACGACTGATTTACTCCACAAACTCTGATGATACTTTTCGCACTCCCCTCAGCCCTTTCTAGTTCAGTCTCTTGCTGCCCTTTACCCTTTCACAATCCACTACCCCGCTGTTATCCGTAACCTATTACTCATCCATCTCCCTTTTGCCACCTGATGCCCTCGCTTCCTTCCTGCCCTGCAGCGCTGTTTAGCCCTTGTGGCTTAGCGCTTCTTTTTTATTATAATAATAATGTAGTGCTTTATGGCCCATATAAGTTTGGCATATTTTGTGAATATAATAATATGACTCGTGTCTTTTTATCTTCCATTAATGTTTTCCCTATTACTGGTCCTTCCAGTCCAGGCTGCCTCTCCTCTCAGCCTTGCAATGCTTTATGACCCTTGTGGGTTTGGCACATTTTGAGTAGAACAGTGATTATAAAAATAATTATCTCTATTTATGTTCCCTGTTCCTGGTCCTTCCATTCAAGTAAGCCCCCTATCTGCTTTAACAGTTTCTTAGAGTATCTTGTATGTCCTAATCATGATTTCTCTAGTCCTTTGCCAGTGTATGTATGTATGTTTATATGTAGTATATATGTATGTATTTGGACTGTCAAATACAGTGGACCCCCGGTTAACGATATTTTTTCATTCCAGAAGTATGTTCAGGTGCCAGTACTGACCGAATTTGTTCCCATAAGGAATATTGAGAGGTAGATTAGTCCATTTCAGACCCCCAAACATACACGTACAAATGCACTTACATAAATACACTTACATAATTGGTCGCATTGGGAGGTGATCGTTATGCGGGGGTCCACTGTATATTGCATTACTGCTGGTGTGTGTGTTTGTGTACATATGTATGTATTAAGACCATAGAATATATTGTATTACTTTTATAATGGTCATTTTCTCCAGAAGAGGCGTTATATCTGCAAAAAAGCTCACACTAAATACGATATGCATTATACTGTACTATTTTTGAGTACAGTACATGTATAACAGCATTCTTATAAGTCATTGACATTTTTAATAAAGAATATGGGAGATTTTGTGTTTAATTCCAACATAAGATTATTTTAGATTTTTACTTCATGACCCTAAAATAGAAGCCGTCTCCGACAGGGAGGAGCGGAGAGTGCCATTGAGGGGCCTAGCAGGGACGGAGCCACTGCAGCCAGGAAGACTGTCGTTCCCAAAATGAAGTTGCACCAGTGCCCATACTGTTCTTATTCCACTGCACGAAAAAATCATTTAATTGATCACATTCGCACTCATACTGGGGAGAAGCCATATTCATGTCCATATTGTCCATCCCGGTTTGTTCAGAAAGGCACTTTGAATAGTCATATTCGAACCCACACTGGTGAAAAACCCTACATGTGCCCATTGTGTCCTCAGAGTTTTGCCCAGAAGACTAATCTTAGAAGTCACTTATGTACTCATATGGGAAAAATTCCACCTGTTAGTCAGTACTGAAAAATTGCAGGTGTGTGTATATGTGATGCATGTGATGTATGTGATGTGTGTGTGTGTGTGTGTGTGTGTGTGTGTGTGTGTGTGTGTGTGTGTGTGTGTGTGTGTGTGTTGTGGTGTGTATATATATATATATATATATATATATACACACACACACACACACACATACATGCAATTTTGCAGAATGACTTATAAACATACCTACTCCATAAGTAACAAACTGTGATGAACATGCTTGTATTACATTAATTAACAATTCTTGGACGTTTACTCATATAACATGATGTAGAGTACAGCATATTGATTCTAAATAAATTGAATAATACATGTAGTCTTTCTGTGGTATCTTTACTTTTACTTTTATTTACCTCATATTTCTGTAAAAAAAAAAAATGACGTGTGAGGAGGATTGCTGACAAAAACCAGAAGAAAGAGTACCACATAAGAACAAGCTGTTAAGCAGATGATGTTTTCCTAAAGATGAGTTTTGTCAAATTTGTTGAAAAATTACAAATGTGTTGTGTGCCCCAAACATATATGTGTTGCTGGTGCATATATTTTATTGTAACCACTTTAGTGGCTGGTGTTGATGCCAAAACCGATGTTTATAGTGCTTTGATTGGCTGCCCTAGGGATGTCTTTTCATTGTTTTACTTATCTGACATGTGTGATTACCCTAGTGATGGTAGATAGAAGAAATGATCCATGTCAGGGTCACTCACATTCCTGGCATAATTGAAGACTTATGTGATCCTCCCTTTGCATCCTTTGATGACATGTCAGGAATATTCATGAAAAGTCATTTCAGTCTTTCACAGGGAATTTTGGTAGTAAGGTCTGTCTTTACTAAGAAAGAAACCAATAGTATAAGTTTGCTGTTTTTGGTTTTCATGTTTTGGTCTGAACAGAAGCGTACGAGATATTCTATATTGGTGAAATTTTGCTTCATTCTTGCAAGTTTCTTGCTCTAAGCACACAGTTAACAGCTAGGGGTTCCTTGAGGAAGTCTGTCAATACTTGTTACAAACACTCACTAAATTAATGCCTCCCCCAACTTCTTATCAAAGGATGCAGGGAAAGTTAATACAAATCTTTAGTGGCACCAGGAAATGGTGTCATTCTTCCACCAGGGAGTTCTACCACTACAGTCTTGTGCTTGCTCATGTCAAGCAGTATTGAGGCCTCTTGACAGAAAACTAAAACAATCAGGTACCAGAACAACCTCTTGCACCAAGTGTGTGCATCTAGACCAGTTCTTGGGGGGAAGGGCAGGAAGTAACAAAGTGTGTGGGAGAAACATCACAGAACATTAATACAGGGGTTCAGGAATATACTAGATATCTTGGCAAGCACAACAAACATGTGTAACCACCACAAGAAACATGCTCATGTCATGACCTAGAATAATTGTAGATGAATGGTTCAGAGAACCGACATGTTGTTGAATTAGACACGTGTGCAACTCTTGGGTATCTTTATTGAGGAAACGTTTTGCCACACAGTGGCTTCATCAGTCCATACAAAGGAGAAACTTGAAGAACAGGAGGAGAATGAGGTAACCAGTCCCTCAGCCTTGAGTCGATGTGGTCAGTCCATCAATCTTGAATAGAATATGGCATATGAGCGGAGAAGCAGCTTATAAACCGTAGACAGGTGAGGGGCAGCAGTCGTAGGTGGTGTCACATTTGTCCAATGTGGAAGTAGGTCGTGCCCAAGGGTTAGGCAAGTGAAGAATTCCCAAGTATTAAGATCCCAAGAAGTTGCAGTGTCTGACAGGATTGTAGATGAATGGTTCAGAGAACCGACATGTTGTTGAATTAGACACATGTGCAACTCTTGGGAATGGTTCTCTGAACCATTCATCTACAATCCTGTCAGACACTGCAACTTCTTGGGATCTTAATACTTGGGAATTCTTCACTTGCCTAACCCTTGGGCACGACCTACTTCCACATTGGACAAATGTGACACCACCTACGACTGCTGCCCCTCACCTGTCTACGGTTTATAAGCTGCTTCTCCGCTCATATGCCGTATTCTATTCAAGATTGATGGACTGACCACATCGACTCAAGGCTGAGGGACTGATTACCTCATTCTCCTCCTGTTCTTCAAGTTTCTCCTTTGTATGGACTGATGAAGCCACTGTGTGGTGAAACGTTTCCTCAATAAAGATACCCAAGAGTTGCACATGTGTCTAATTCAACAACACCTAGAATAATGCCAAGTTAATCATCGGGGAGAGACAGATGAGTAAAAGCTTTGAGAAAACTCTATTCCAAACTTTAGACACTGTTGAACAAGTTCAAGGGAAAAATGTATATCTCAGAACCACAGCTAATGCTAGTTTGCATTCAGAACCTCCCAAAGAAAATGGAATAAAAAATGGAGGAAAAGAAAGAAGAAATGATGTATAAGTTACAAGAAGTCTTTATATATATCCAGAGCCACAAAAGACAATAGAAACTTGTAGAACAAGCAGTATTTAAAAAGTAATTCTTTAAACATTGCTTTACCTGTTGTGAAACTACTCAGCAGTACTCCATCTGTGCAAAATGGTTGGGACCTGGTCTGCTTCAGAAGATGGTATTTCTCCTAATTTTGAAGTCAGTCAAAAAATAAATTGCTAATATGTACCAGTGTTTACAGATTATTCAGCATAATTGCAGTGATTCTTAACTCTTTTAACCTTTTTAAGTTGTCATAAGGGTTTTTTTTATTTCCTCGTCAAAACTAACTTAAAGATTAATTTCTTTGGGAAAACCTCTTAAATATTACAGCAAAAACAAATATGAAAGTGAAGTAGATCAGTGACACAGTTATTAATAAGAACTTGTGTGTATTCATTTATAAACAAAAAATACATTAGTCTTATTTAGTGGCACTTTTGTTGTTGATATTCATTAGTGATGATGCTGAAATGAGCTTCTTATATATATATATATATATTATATATATATATATATATATATATATATAATATATATATATACAGTGGACCCCCGGTTAACGATTTTAATCCGTGCAAGAGGGGTAATTGTTTATGCGAAATAATCGTTATGTGAATGAATTTTCCCCATAAGAAATAATGGAAATAAAATAATCCGTGCAAGACACCCAAAAGTATGAAAAAAAAATTTTTTTTAACCACATGAAAATATAATTTTAATACACACAAACTGAAAAAGGCATGCACACTTACATGACACTTACTTTTATTGAAGAT